GGGGGTGTTATGGTGTGGCCCCCCCCCCAGGGGGTGATTTCTCACTTTTCTTCTTCTTCTTTTTTTTTTTTTTTGAGAGGTGTTTTGCGATAGGGCGCATCATGCACTCGCCAGACAGACAGAGAGAGACAGAGAGAGAGACACAGAAAGCGAGAAATCACCCCCCAGGGGGGATGGTCACACCGCAATCCCTTCTCCTCCATTCTCCTCTCGGGATCTTGGGCACGCACGCACACGCGCCCCGCGTGAATTTTAAGCCACTGGGTCCGGGACACGAACCACGGTCGACCACATGGGAGTCCAGTGACATAGCCATTACGCTAACTGCTGGTCCCTCACTTTTCTTCTCTGGTGAGCACATATACCCTATAGCAAAAATTTAAAATTAAAAAAAAAAAGTAGCTCTATATGTGTTGATATGAAGTGATCCCTAATATATGTCAAAAGACAAAAGCACAACAATTTGAAGAGCTTAATTGACTTTATTTATAATTCTAGAATTGGGCAACAGTTCATTTCATATAATAGAATAAATGTACCAATTATCCTAGTGGAAGAGGTTAATTTTATAAACTGAGAGGAGCTGAAAGAGGCAGAATTAAAAGAACAAAAAGCATATTGATCATTTAGGTTTTTTTAGTTTTTGTCTTTAAGAGGTTTTTGCCTTAGGGTGTGTGTGCTTGCTAAGGAATGAGAGACACAGGCAGTAAGAGGGAAAGTGAGCAATCACTCCCCTGAGGGGAATGGCCATGCTGCAGTCCCTTCTCCTCCATCCTCCTCCCAGGATCTATTACACACACACACACACACACACACACACGCACGCCTGGTGTGATTTTCAAGCCACCAGGTCCAGGTCTCAAACCACACTTGGCCATGTGGGAGTCCAGTGACATAACCACAGTGCCACCTGCCGGTCCTGGGTTGACCATTTCAAAGTCACTTTCCTTGTGAGGAAAGGACAGGGAGATCGAACTATAGGAAGACAGCTGATGAGTTAACATCTGGTTACTTCAAGTTACTTCTTTTTATTATTATTATTATTATTATTTAAATTTTGCTATGGGACATGTACACGCATCACGGGGAGAGAGGAAGAGAGAGAGAAGCATTCTCTGGGGAAATAGCCATGCCGCAGTCTCTTCCATTCTCCTCTTGAGATTTTGGGTGCATACACACATGCACCTGGCCTGATTTTCAAGCCACCAGGTCCAGGACTTGATTCGCATATCGGGCCATGTGTAATCCGGCCAGCATAACCACCACGCCACTGGCTGGCCATGGTTACTTCTTTCATGCAAAGATTAAACATCAGAGGAAACATCATTATCATGGAGATAAAAACTGGCCTATTTGTGAAACTAAGGCTCTTACCTCTTTCCTGATTTCCTGAAGATCAGATAACAGCTTTGACCTGGTAACATGGAAACATGAGTAACTCCATTTTGATTTGTAGTCTAGCCTACAAGGGCCTAGTGCAAAAGCTTAGTCTAAAACAGTGGCCTTCTGTGATTTTTATTTAGCACATGTAATTAAGTGAAATCCTTAAAATAATATGCTTTCACTTTTGTTATGAGGAGAAAAAGGCAAGGGGACCTTAGAATGCACATAGGCGGGTAAATGCAGAGTACTTCAGGTACCCAGAACGAGAGTCAAGGATGGCAGGGTCAATGCCTTGTGAGTTTTTTCGCTTTGTTTTTTACCTCCCTTGTGGTAATGGTGGTCTTAAACAAAAGTCTTCGAAAAATTTCTGCCTGGGGGCTGGTAGGTGATGTGTTGGTTAAGGGCACTGGACACCCACATGACCTACTGTGGTTCGAGTACCAGACCTGGTGGCTTGCTTTCTCACTTTCCTTCTCTCTCTTTCTCTTTCTCTCTCACTCTCTCACTCTGTCCCTCTCTGGTCAAATTAAAACAAATAAAGTTAAATAAAATAATTGTTTTAAAAAAAGAGAAAGATTTCTGCCTACAAAATGCAGTGTTAAGGCTACAAGGTAGCCATGTCCTCGTGGAAACAGCCACCTGCAGTCTGTATGTCTGCGCAGTGGTGTGTGAGGCACTGTCCAGACCTCCGCTTACTTGAAGCGTCTAGTGCATCTCAGAAACTCTTTTTTTTTAAGAATTATTTTATTTAACTTTATCATTATTATTATTATTATTGTTTTCCAGTTTAGATCAGAGAGAGAGAAAATGAGAAAGCAAGCCATCAGGTCCAGGACTTGAACCACGGTTGTCCATGTGGGAGTTCAGCACCTTTAACCTCCGTCACCTGCCAGCCCCTCAGAAACTCCTAAATCTCGACTTGTGGGAAAGTGGTGACAGATCTCAAAGGCCTCCCAAGGCCAGACATTGCCTTCCAAGCACTATTTCAGCAGCACAGAGATCCTCACTTGTTGTTTATTCCGGGTGAAGGGCTTTCATGGCCTTCAAACCTCCCTGTGGACTTTCAGCCTGGTGGCCTACAGTTAAACACTTTTCTTTTTCTTTCCTTCTTTTTTCTTTTTTTGGAGAGGTTTTTGCTATAGGGTGCATGCGCTCTCTAGAGAGACAGAAAGCAAGAAATCACCCCCCAGGGGGGATGGCCACGCCGCAATCCCTTCTCCTCCATTCGCCTCTTGGGTTCTTGGGCATGCACACACACATACCTGGTGTGAGTTTAAGCCACTGGGTCCAGGACTCAAACTGTGGTCAACTACATGGGAGCTCAGAGACATAGGCATTATGCTAACTGCTGGTCCCTTTTTCTTTGTTTTTAAGAGAGATTTTTGCTATAGAGCACGTGCTATTATCAAAGAGACAAAAAGTGAGAAGTCAACCCCCAAGGGAATGGCCATGCAGCAGTCCCTTCTCCTCCATTCTCCTCTCAGAATTTTGGGCATGCACGCACACGTGCCTGGCGTGATTTAAGCCACGGGGTTCAGGACTCAAATCGTGGTTGACTACTTGAGAGTCCAGCAACGTAACCAGTACGCCGTCTGCTGGTCCCAAGCACTTTATGTTTTTCTTGGCAGTCCCATCAGGAGTGAGGTGCCAGGGAAGTGAAGCAGATGCCCGAAGTCTTTTTACTTCCTGGGCTGTGTGAGCATCCTCACTAGCAGCCTGTCCCTTTCCACCCAAGGCTGATGCAGTTGGCAAGCAGGAACAATGAGCTTTTTAGGGAAATATCAACAAACTCTTCTTACACCCGGAGTGAATGCTTCCCCCTCCTTCATGGGCTACTTTGTGGGGGCAGGTGAAGAGCCACCTGGACTAGGTGGTGAGACCTCGGCCTCATGTCTCTCCCACAGAGAACACCTTCTGCAGTGGGGACCACGTGTCCTGGCACAGCCCTTTGGATAACAGTGAGTCAAGAATCCAGCACATGCTGCTGACTGAGGACCCGCAGATGCAACCTGTGCAGACACCCTTTGGGGTGGTTACCTTCCTCCAGGTGAGGTGCAGGTTGGACGTTGGCTTGTGCCTTCCCTGTGGGAAAACTCCTGGCAGGATGGGTACGGGAGCTGGGAGCAGGCTTACATAGGAGAGTGGCAGACACGGGAGGTTTCCTCTGATCTTCTCTCATTTTCGGTTCTCTCTGGTGGTTTAGAATCAGGTGGTCCAAAGGAGCCTGCTCAGAGTTAATTTGGAATGGGAGAAGAAAGGAGAGAAAGGGGTTGTTTGGGTGGGAGAGAGTGGCTGGTGCTGAGGGGCAGCATGGAGGGTATTTTGTGGGCCAGAGAAGACCCAGACAGCAGAGGCATAGGCCCCCTCAGCAGGCAGCCAGCACTGGGCCAGGCTTGCCCTTTCCCAGAGGACCGTGATTCTGCCGTACCCCCGCTGTGGCCCATGCTCACTTTTGGTCGAGATGAGGTCTGTGTGCAGGTTCACTTGGTTCCCTTGAGATTTACTCAAAGGCTTAGCCCCAGAGAAGGAAAGGGGCTTCTCTGCAAGCCGCTGGGGCCCTCTGGTTGTGTTGCTGAGCTTGCTGGATCTCAAAACCTCCTCGTCATGATACTTGACTGGGTAGGAAGTCTCCTCTGCCCCAGAGACATGGCTGAGGGCCCACCCTGGGCTGGCTCCGGCCTTGGTCTCCTTTGTGTCACCCAGACACCTGCTGAGCAGGGTCGGGCCTCAGTGGCTGCGCGGGACCCCTCCATGGACCCGTCCAGCTCCAATCCAGGAAGCTGCTCCCTCCTAAGGGAACCTTCCCCCTCCGGGTGTACTAGTCTCTGAACACAGATCCTGCCTGAGGTCCCCACACATCAGATGGCCCAAGAGAGCCTGGGGAGCTGACCTCCTGGGAGGGACGGCCATTAACACACAGTGGCATCTCATCCCGGCCTCAGATTGTGGGCGTCTGCACCGAGGAGCTGCACTCAGCCCAGCAGTGGAACGGGCAGGGCATCCTGGAGCTGCTGCGGACGGTGCCCGTGTGAGTACACCCCGCCTTGGAGGGGGGAGCCTGGCTCTCGGCCGGGCATGGGAGGCCCTCCTTCACCCTACCTGTGGGGTGCTTCCTTGCCTCGCTCTTACAGGCACTGGTTTTTCACCTCAGCTTCCTGGTGGCTCACTCCCCGATGGTCCCTGTGCCCAAGCTATCCTCTCCCCCTCCCCGGTACCGTGGGCCTGGGTTCGTGCATCAGCTGGGCCCACGCACACCAGCCCTTCAGTCACCACGTTTCCCCTTTCCTGTCCACAGCGCCGGCGGCCCCTGGCTGATAACTGACATGCGGAGGGGAGAGACCATATTTGAGATCGACCCACATCTGCAAGTATGTCTTGAGTGAGGAAAACCTTTCCAACATCCTGTGCCTAGGCCTCTCCCAGATAACACTGGCTTTCATCCTGGGGAAATAGAGGAGCTCTGTGTCGTGAGTGGGAGCACGGCACGATTCGGACTTGTCCCCCGAATCTTGCAGAGCATACGAGGAGCAGAGATTTCAGGCCGGGAATGCTTATCTCAAATGCGTGTATTTTCTCATGACAAATGATGAGTTTTATCATATGTACATCATACATTGGTTTAACAAAATCAGATCACCAGCAACAAAAGAAGATAAGTACATTGGCTATTTGCTGGCTTGCCCAGTATTCATCCCCTCACTTCTTAAAAGAACACAGCCTTCCTTTCAGGGAGCAGCCAGCAGCCACCGTCCCTCCATCACAGGCAGCAGCACGGGTGGTACTGACTGCAAGCCCAGCTGCAGCCGTGGGCACTGGCTCCTCTCTCTACCCCGTTCCTCCCTCCGACTCATTTCCGTCTTGGGCAAGCACTCAGCTCCTGCCCCGGAGAGGCCAGCACCCCTTTGTATAAAGGGCTCTTTACACACACGGGCCTGCCCACACACTGGTCACCTGGACGGAGCTTTGGCGTCATCTTTGGTGTGTAGGAGTGCTCCTTTGGCGTGCAAGTGAATTTGAAAGCTGCGGGAGCATAACCGCCTTTCTTGTAGGCAGCTTTTGGCATCCTGCCATGCCTCTGCCCCCTCTGCCCGCACCCCAACTGCAGGCCATTGCTGTGTCTGAGTCTCTCATGCTTCCGCACAACCCAGGGAGGCCACAGGTAGCTGCCAGTTACAGGTCCTAGAGCAAGCAATGTGGCCGGCAGCCCCGGTATTCCTCACTGCAGGCCTGTGTCCTCATTCACAGACGATGCTCCTCTGTTTTCCTAGTGCCTTTAACAGTGAAGCTTTCACATTGCTGCCAGGACCCTCTGTTATCTCTACTTTAAATTTGATTTCCTTGTAGCTTCTGCTTATGCAAGAACCAGGAACCACCAAGGCTGTGCTTCCCTAAGTCCTTGTTCCGCAGCCGCACTGGGATCTGCATGGGGTGCTATGGGCTGTCGTTTGGCCCCAGCACTAAGCACCAAGTACTGAGAAAGAACCTGGTTTTTGAACTAGTAGGGTAAGCAACCTACCCTTTGCCTGCTCTCTGGGAGCAGTTCTCCCTAGCCCACAGGCTCCCCAAGACCAGCCAACAGGCCCCAGAGCTCCTAGAAGTCTTTCCAGGGGGCCTGTGGGGAGAAAAGGCAGCCGTCATTCCCGGTACTGTGTGCGCCGAGTGTGAGTCCTCTGCATTTGCTGTGCCCTCTCAGGCCTGCGGCCACCAGTGCACTGTAGAGCTGGCTTGTGTTGCCTTTGACCGCAGCTCTACCCCTAACCAGCTGTGTGCCTAAGCAAGTCCCTTGACTTCTATGAGTTTAACAAACCTTGTTTTACTTATAAAGTAAGAGGACTGGACTAGTTGAGCCAACTGTCTACCCTCAGCTCTTGACCTGAGTGAGGGACTTCAGAGCAGCCGGAGGAGAGGGGAAAGTTCAGGCTGTCCCTGAGCGGAGCAGACCCCACTGGCTCCTGCCTGGAGCAGGTAGAATTGCTCCCTTGCCATCAGCCTCTCCTGCTCAGAGCCTCAGCTTTGCTCAGGCTGATGGTAGCACTGGGAAGGGGGAGAGAACAGTTGATGGGAAGGGGCATCTGGGTCCCTAGAAGTAAGGACAGCACCTGTCCTTTCCCGGAGAGGCTCCCTGGCTGACCAGCACCCTGGTGTGGTGGCTGAGAGACCATGAGGAGTGGGTCAGCAGATAGGAAAGTGCAGGGTCTTGTTGAGGTGCTCACCCAGGGGCTTTGTTTGGCCCACATGGCTGTTTATGGGCAAAGTTGCTAAAGCTACAGGTGACCTTTAATCCAAAGCCCAGCATCACAGAACTATTTTACCAGAAAGTCCAGGGTTGTTTTGAGTACAACTCTTCCTTGAGGCCATTTGGAGTGTTTGGACTCACAGTGCCAAGGCCTGCACAAAGGCGAGGCCTCCAGGGGAGTCTGCAGATGGTCACTGCCCTCCAGGCCCCCATTTTAGTCTAAGAAATGGAAAAAAAGAACTCCATCCAGAGTTCTTTGCCGAACAAGTTAGCCCCCGCAGCTAGGGAAGGTCCAGCCCTTCTGCTCTCGTGGGTGCTTCCTTGTAGGACCACGCCCTCTGGTGGTAAAAGCGGAAACTGCAGGCATGGCCTCTCCTGGCAGATCTTCTCCCCTGTCTTCTGTGGCAGGGACTGGGGCGTTCTAGGAGAAGAGAAGGGGTCGTGTCTTTTCTAGAGAAGTAGGTCCTGCCTTGCCACATAGACCCCATGGGCCAGCATGGAGGTAGGGGGTGGAGTCATGATTCAGAAACAGGTATGAAGGCCATTGTCCTTGAAAGCTGCAGGTAGAGAAGCTTCCATTGGGATTTTCATTCCTCCTGGCTCCTCCTAGTCCCGGTTTCCCTGGAGAGTCCAGCGGCTGCGTAGACTGCCATGCACGGTAACCAGGGTAGCACCAGGTCAGAGGCCTGCTCTTCCAGCATCTGCCCCACGCTCAGCACCTCCAAGGGCTCCGTACATGCTCTCAGGGTGGTGGCTGGGAGTGGTAGCGTCCTCAGGCCACCAGTTCTCTGAAAGAACTCTGGCTCTTTGGCTCTTTTCAAGCAGGAGCGAGTTGACAAAGGCATAGAGACAGACGGCTCCAACCTGAGCGGTGTCAGTGCCAAATGTGCCTGGGACGACCTGAGCCGCCCCCCCGAGGATGACGAGGACAGCCGGAGCATCTGCATCGGCACACAGCCTCGGCGGCTCTCTGGCAAAGGTGGGAGCAGTAGCCCAGCCTTCCTCCTTCCTGTTCACCAGGCTGCTTTCCAGACTCTCTAGGATGGGTCTCAACAAAAACAGCCTATTCAGTAGTTTATTTCCTGACCTGATTCAGACAGCAAGTGAAGTCTTCCAGCAGGGTGGAATTGAGGGAGCTTTATTAGCCCAGTTCTGCTAGCTGTGTTTCCTGTGTGTATTTCAAATGCACCACCAGCGGGAACCATTGTGTTTTAGATTTGCTCCTTGCAATCTGAGGTCATGGAGGTGAGTGGAAGCCATAGAACAGTTACAGGAAAAGTCCATAGTCCACCCAAGTGCCAGGGAACAAGCATCGGCCACCCACGGAATTGACACAGAGCCCAGCATTGGCCTGAAGGCCATGCCAGGCCCGAGGATCACTCTAGCCTCAGGCCCTCCCAGCCATTTAATGAGAGAGGCCCGAGAGTGAGGCCTGCTTGCAAATGACTCCCACCCCACTGTCCTGCAGATACAGAGGGGCCTGTGGGCAAGGCACCCTGAACCCACTGCATTCCAGGTGGGGTCCTGGAGAAGGAGGATGTGGCTCTCCTGTTGGAAGCTCCTGTGCTAGTCTTGGCTACAGAAGCAGTTGTGGTTTTTAGCAAAGGGTGTCCCTAGCTAACTCCAAAGGAAAAGTGGCCATTCACATATACATGGGCTTGCAGCTTCCTCATCGACTTCCTTTCTCGATTCCTCCACCTTTTCTTGTTTTTTGAACAGTAAGATGCTTGTAACCCTGAATAAAATACCTACATATGTGATAACACTTGTGAAAGGTTTTTTCCTTTCTGAAAAGGACAACTTAACTCCGTAGTGCAAACATTTGCCCCTCCTCCTTCCTTCCCGCTCTTTCCCGTGGTATGCCAGCCTATAGGAGGTACGGGGAGAGGAAACATGGCTATTAGGGTTATTCGGTTGCTTTTGACAAGAGGTGATTTACAGAAGGATTTATAGTCTCGTCCAAAGTGTTGATCATTATTGGCTCTTTCTAAAAAATTATGAAATAATCCATGTTAATTCCACAAGTTGAACAAAAAGTTAGTAATCATCTCCCTATTCTGAGCCTACCCCTTTGTTTAAAGAAACAATGATTTGTTTGTTTTAGTTTTTGTTAAAATGTGCATGCACTCGCTAGAGAGAGACAGAAACAGAGAGAGAGGGGCGGAAGTGAGAAATGACCCCTCAAAGGGGACGGCCACACTGCAATCCCTTCTCCTCCATTCTCTTCTCAGGATTTCAGAACACAGGCACATGCACTGGTGTGATTGTCAAGCTGCTGAGTCAGCAGCTGAGCTGAGACTCAGCCACTCAGGTGGCTCTGTGGGATCCAGCACTTTAACTTTCACACCACCTGCTAGCCCTCCTTTTAATGTTAATTTGCTTTTTTGTATGGGTTTAGAGTTTGCAAAGATAAATCTTAGATCAAAATCTTGATAAAGGAGACCAACTAATAAGCTTCACTCCAAAAACCAGTGAAGCATCTTACAAATAAACCATTCTACTAAGGGACTCCTTTCTCCCTGCTGGTCCTGCCAGCTCCTTGGAAAGACAGAACTCCCGGGGACAGGCCAAGGTGGGGTGAGGGCTCACCATCCACTGACCTGGACCAAAAGAAAGGGGTGGCAGGGTTAGGCACTAGTGGATCATCCAGGACCCGGAACATGGGTAAGAGGCACTTGCGCGTTCCTGGCAGAGTACTTGTAGCCCTCACTAGTTTTCATTTCAGCGGGCAGAACTGCTGGGTGGCCAGGGAAGTGGCAGAGGCTTTGTCAGTAGGTCACCTTTCAGGTTGTAGTAACTTTGGGCAAGGAAGAGGATAGTGGACAGCACCCTTCTGAAGTCCAGAAGTTACTTCCTGTGTCCTGCAGGAATGTTGGTCTTCCAGCCCAGTCCTTCTTGAGAGTGCAGTGCCTGCTGGGCCCCTCTCCTCCCCCTCCTGGCCTGAACTCGGCTCTCACATCCTCATGCCCCAGGCAGGCTCAGGACCAGCCTGCATAGCTGCAGCTGCTTTTCCCAAGCGCATCTGCTGAGCCAGGCCTGGGGGGCAGGGTGGGGTTACTGGGAACCCCCAGGGCCATCGGACAACTTAGTGGTATCATTGCAGACACAGAACAGATCCGGGAGACCCTGAGGAGAGGACTTGAGATCAACAGCAAACCTGTCCTACCGCCAATCAACCCTCAGCGGCAGAACGGCCTCACCCATGACCGGGCCCCGTAAGTTCCCCAGTGTTCCAGGGCTGGGACAAGAGGACAGTTTTGTCGTGAAGGGCTTGCCCCTGTGGACTGCCTGAGAGAGAGCCATGCCCCTGCTAGTCCTCTCAGGATAGATCTCGGGTCGCTGGTGCACACAGGTCTCTGGGTCACGGAGGCCTGAGTGGAGACCTCGTGGACCATGAACATGAGCATCAGTAAATATTTACATGGGCTGTGTGAACAGACGCAAGACCAGTTGGGGCAAAATCGGATGGGGGCCTCCCAGCCGTGTGGGAGTCCATTGTGCTGAGCATGGTTCTCTCCTTATCTTGGCCTCGGCCAGAGTTGCCCTTCCTTCCTTCCTGGAGCCTGGTCTCCGGCTGATAGCTGCAACCCTGGGGGCCTCCCTGTCTGGCCAGCCCCATACTGGACGCCTGCTGCTGAGGCCCTTCTTCCTGCCTCGCTTCCCTGGGGCCCAGGGAAGGGAAGGGAAGTCTTTTGCAGGCCTGTGCTGTCTGTCCAGGGGCCCCTACAGCCTTTGGGAGAGACTGCGTGCACCTCAGAGGTCAGATCCGCTTCCTGCCAACCTTCTTCCTCTGATAGGGACCACGTGGTGAGCAGGCCTGGAGCTGGGCACCCCCTCTGCCCTTAGTCCCAGGGCAGCTCGGGAGAATGGCTCCTGGCAGGGGCTGCCTGGGAGCTGGCAGCCCAGAGCAGAGCCTTGCCTGCCAGGGAGGAAATTGCTGTGCCTTAGGTTAAAAGAGGGGTCGACTAACCCTGCAAGACAAGGGTGATCCACCTGTCTTCTCAGAAGTCTTTCGTATACCCTTGCTATGTGGCTAGCGCAGGGCCCAGGGGTCAACCTGGGGTGCACAGACTCTTCCTTTCAGGGACCGTGAGTGAAACAATTCCATTTCTTTTTGTTTGTTTGTTTTTGTTTTTGTTTTTGTTTTCATGACATAGGGTGTATGAGAAAGAGAGAGAAGTGCCCTTCATAGGAGTTTGTCCCACGGAGCGACCCTTTCTCTAGCCCTCCCAACTGCTCAGGGTTCTTGGTACCCATGCACACGCAGGGTGTGTTTTCAGGCTAACCCCAGGTGCCCATCCCCATGGTCGGCCAAGTGGCCTCTAGTACACAGACCAGGTACTAGGGACTGCACCTCCTAGGCTGGGCTGAGGCATTAGCTTCTGATGACACGTGTCAGGCTGGAGGCGCAAGTTGTTGGAAATGGCTGCTGCTTTGGATCCTAGCCCCCGTTGCTGCTCCGTGATCCCTAGGCACTACAGAGCAGGCAGGTCAGCACGATCTAGAGGAGTTCAGGACACCTCGGAGGAGGAAGAACGTGAGATAGTCTCAAAGGTGACCTAGTCTTTTATCTTTTGTGGCTTTTTTTTTTTTTTAAGAATTTTTACATAGGGTACATGTGCTTGCCAAAGAGAAAGAGACACAGAGACAGAGGGAGAGTGAGAAATCACCCCCAGGGGAATGGCCTTGCCACAGTCCCTTCTCCATTCTCCTCTCAGGATTTGGGGCATGCCTGCATATGCACTTGGCATGTTTTTTAAACCACCAGGTCAGGAACCCAAACCACCGAGTCAGCCATGTGGTATCCAGTGCCTTCACCACCACACTACCTGCTGGCCCAGAACTAGAATTTTAATAAGCATTAAATTTGGGAGAGACTGTGTATACCTCAAAGGTCAGATCTGCTTCCTCTGATAGGGGACATGTGGAGGACAGGGCTGGAGCTGGGCACCCCCTCTGTCCTTAGTCTCAGGGCAGCTGGGCTGCCCAGGGTGGCTGACCCAGCGTACCTGCCATCCAGAAGCTGTGAGAGTTGAGCTCTGTGGCAAAAGCCTCAGAGTGGCTTTCGCCCCAGCTGGGGGCTTCTCCAGCCCTGAGTAGCCGCACTGAAGTAGCTCAGGCACTGTGCTGCTCCGCGGCAGCAACAGATGGCCAAGCTGAGTTGCAGGGCATCTGGAAGCTCTCCACCTACGAGTCTGGACCCCATCCCAGGGCCACACTTCTTCTGCGCCCTGAGCTTGGCTTCTCATCCTGGACCCTGTTGGCACCGTTGAGAGGCCAGAGGTATTTGCAGGCTTAAAGTCTTGAGCAGATTGCCTATAACTTGGAGACCATCTCTGTCCAGATGGCCCTCTGCCTCTGGAAGGCCAGGGCCTGCTGGCAGAGGGCAGAGGCTCCTGTAGAGATACAGCCCACTTGCCCCTCTTATATTTGGGACAGACCTGAGATCTCATTCTCTGTGTGAGCATACTTGCAGTTGCTGCACCCCAGACATTGTAGGGGGCACAGGGCTCTATGTTCCTAAATGCACACACAAGCCCAGACTCTGCCCACACTCTGAACAGGCACAGGGGCATCAGCTCGTTCAGGGCTCTCTGTAGACATCAGCAGAGAGGCTTTAGCCTCTAGCCTTTGCCCCACATTAGCTGAGATACAGAAATATCCAGAGAGACAGGCGGCAACAGAGCTGAGATGCCAGCCCTCGGTGTCACCTCCCCTCCTTGCAGCTCAGGTGCCCGGTCAGGTCTCTGAAGTGCCAGAATCTACAGTCTGAGGGGATCAGTCTGGGGAGAACTTCTCTGAGGTTTTCAGTGCTGATCACTAGTTTGTTAGCAGTCGGTTGATAAATGGCTCCTCCTTTGCCCAGAACATTCTCCAGCACGCTCACATCTCTCCGCCTCTAGCTCCTTGTTATCCCAGGATCGATGATGATGGACTCAGTTCAGATTAGCAAGCACAATTGTAGTATCTGTGCTGCCCACTCTGGGACCTGACCCCGTTTCAGATAGACCACATGGACGTGACTGAGAGCCGACCCAAATGTGCTGGCACCAGTGTTCGCTCTTGTCCCTGTGCGGGAGCAGCCAGCGCGGGCCTTACTTTGTCTGCGTGTCTGGTTTCCCTTTAGTCAGGATTTCTGGATTGAGAGCTCTGATGCATGGTCTCTGTGGGTCTGTCTGTGGTCTGAGGCCACAGAGATGGAGCAGTGGTTCAGAACAGCTCATCAGGCCTGGGCACTGGCTCTGGGTTCTGGCCTCCTTGGGGGAGTCAGGCACATGTTCTTTTCAACAGCCACCGCTTCCACGGTGCTTATGGTGACCCAGGTAATGTTCCAGCGGCTTTAGACCCACGGCACGTCAGTTCATCCTCGTACCACCCCGCGGAGGAGATGATCTTTATGCCCTTTACAGATGGAGGGTGAGGTACTGAGAGACCGAGTAATTTGTCCAAGGTTAGCTAGGGGAAGAGGGTAGCATAATCTGTCAGCCATCAAAACAGGCGTGGTCCTCTTCACCCCACGGGGACCCCATGGGGGTGCAGAAGACTCTGTCTCAGCGGTAAGGATGACCCTCATTGGTGGAGCACGCCCGACTAGTAGCATGATTAGCTCCCTCTCACGTGACACCGAGGACGGGACGAAAGCTCACATTCGGAGCTAACTGTGATTATTTTTTTTTAAGAATTATTTTATTTAACTTTATTTATTTATTTTAATTTGACCAGAGAGGGACAGAGTGAGAGTGAGAGAGAGGGAGGGAGAGAGAGAGAGGAAAAGGGAGAAAGTAAGTCGCCAAGTCCAGGACTTGAACCACAGTCAGCCATGTGGGAGTTCAGTGTCCTTAACCACCACGTCACCTGCCAGCCTGCTAATAGTGCTCATTTAACTCTAGGGAGGGTGTCTATGAGCCCTGGTGATTCCGAACTCCAGAAATAACCAGCCATGTCCAAATCAGCTCATCTATTCCAGTGTTACTTTTTGATGCAGGGCCTTGTTTCCTTCATGTTCAGAAATGAAAACACCCCTGTCTCTGGCCTCTTTACTACTTAGGGCTAGGGGATTACTTGCTTTCTTGAGGTCTCATATCCTGCTTCCCAGAAAGGCAGCCCCTCTGGGTGCCCTGCTCCTCTCCTACCCTCCGTTGCCAGCCCCCCACCCCCGCTCCGCCTTCCTGGAAGGAGAGTCCTTGGCCCTCTTTGGGGCTTCTTCAGCATTTCACAACCCTTGCATTCCAGCCATGAAATTTGTATCTGGCTTTTCCCAAGATGATCAGTTGAGAAAAGCCTCCTTCGGCTTGCTGGCGCCTCCCTTCCCACTGCCTGCTCGGGTGAGTTTGGAAGCAAATCCTCTGTGCCACTTGAGGACAGCCTGCCTGAGAGACGATGCCTGCCAGCATCTGCCAAGACCGGGAGGTGGGGGGTCACTGGGCACCTTCTCTGTCTGACATTGCCGGGCCGGACGTGGGCTAGTCCATGGCGTCCGCCGCCAGCCCCGCAGCCTCTGTACAGGGACATGGAGGGCGTGTGATCAGGTGCGCCGGGGGAGGTTTGCAGTCCTGTGAACCGTCACTCAGATGCTGGGAACCGGCTTCATTATTCCAGGACCTCTTTGTCTCCCGGCCAGGTCGCCAGGTCGTATCCCCTCCAGAGGGGCCGGGGCCTGCACGTGTGGGGCGGGGAGGCCGCTCACTGTGGAAGAAGCTCTGTGGGTTGTGGCACACCAAGGAAGCAAACCCACCGTCCTTGCTGGACCAAGCGGCTCGGCCTCCCAGAATTGGACCAGCAGCTGTTAAGGCTTTTTTTGGAAGGAAGTGGCCTCAGTGTCATAGAGAATTAAGGCTTTGTAGACGAATTCTCCTGTTGCGACGTCCTCACCCGCACCTTCCCTCACACGCTCGTACGTACAAATCCTTCACTCTACTCGTGGGAATGTCTCTGCTCCCATCCGTTTAGCTTTTTGCATGGAGTGACTTCACTGCCGCTGATTCCCATCTTGAATCACTTGTGACCTGGCCAGGAAGTCATCCTTTAAAGAAAATTGTGTTTTGATTTGCTCAGCCTATGAGGTCCTTGAAAATTAATTAAAAGAAAATCATCTCATTTACATCCAACCTATCAGTGAATGTGGGTGAAGGAAGGTGAGTTTCCATCTGGGGAAACATCTGGGCCGGTGCTGGGGCTGCACGCACCCAGGGCCATGCAGGGTGACCCAGCTCCA